TGCTGATTGAGTATAATCGCATATACGAGTTTTACTCACAGTTAGTTTACGGCGATTGCCTTACAGAGGTATAAGTGTAGCTCAGTGTACACACAGGTACACAAATAGCAGCAAACACACACACACACACACACACACGCCCATCCACTGACTAAATATAGAGAGCTTAGAGACAGTTACAAAAGCAAAGAAAAGTTAAAAAAATAAAATTGCAAGTCGTATTGCGTTTAGAATTCCGTGAGGGAGCATAGATGCAACTATTCCGTAAGAGTTGACTGTGATAGTACTGCATCGACATTGTAGCGTTTTCCAGTAATCGAAGGAGAAATGATTGGGGGAATGTATGCCTGTGTACGAGTGAATGAAAAATGTCAGAGAGAGGGAGGGGGCTAAATAGGGGGATTTCAAAGTAGTTCCATTACTACAAGCTTTATATTATACTGGAAGGTATGTCGAGTATATTAAAAAAAAAAAGAAAGAAAAGGAAAAAAAAAGTTTTCGTCATGATTATTCTAAACGTACATATGTCGAGGAAAAATTATACATAGTTGACTGATGCATGATGTATTCATAGTGATTGTAAAGTTGTACGTGCCGTCTATACGCGTGTACAACTGTCATTATGTACAAGCGCATATACATATGCCGTATTATATATTTCAGAGTTCGCGCGGGAAATAAAACGTTGAAAATACAAATAATTATCTCCTTTACTGCGTCATTAATACAAGTTGCACATGTCGAGAGTCGGTGCGCTACAATAATTTACATGAATGGAATTGAAAATTTTCTACTCCGCGGAGGAGAAAAAGACACGAAAGAGCGAGAACCGACGCGGCAGAGACAGAGAAACACACACACACACACACACACAGAGGGAGGGGGAGAGAGAGAGAGAGAGAGAGAGAGAGAGAGAGAGAGAATGTGAGAGTGAAATAGAATGTTAGATGGTTTCACTAATGTTCTTTATCCGTATACTGTTCCGAACTGTCTTAATTAAGTAATTAAACGAGAACTATATACAAAAGTTAAGGATTATGATACTCATAAACGATAAATTATTATGAATGTAATACGCGGATTCTACGATTCAGTATGGTACTATTAATATAGTCAATAATTCCTGTTCTAAGGTCTAATTCGGGATTCATTTTGTTCCTTGGCGCGTGCAGCTACCTCCACAAAGAATCTTTGCCACACACACAAACACACACACACACAATGTATATGAATAATCCTTTATTTCCATTTGGAATTTGCGAACTCAAAAAGCTGCACAGGATATTTAAAGTGGAGAGATAAGAAAAGAAACGTAAAATGTACCAACTTTGTCTTACTTTGTTCCCCGTACGACACTTTTTCGTGGCTAATTCGAACGGGATTTGCGAGTAGGAAAACGATAGAACTTGTACAGAAACATAGAAAGAGCCTAGAGAGATGAAAAGTATCTCTGCTGGTCAGTTGGATACCTTATGAGTTGTGATCAACAATAATTGGAAGATTTCAATTTTATCTGATGTGTATGATCTGGCTTGAAACGAAGCTTTTGATAATACAAATTTATAATTGCTACATATAATCATTGAATTCACTTAAAATAGCATTGGTAAGTCAACGCTCCAACGTGGAGAATAAAATATGAATATGGAGTTAATCTAATACTGTTAATAATGTTCTATGCATCAGGAGGAATTGCTTGAGCAAAATCGCAATTCTGATCGTGACTAAGAAAAGAAAGTGGGGTGGGACAAGGGAGGGGAGCGAGAGCGAGAGAGAGAGAGAGAGAGAGAGAGAGAGAGAGAGAGAGAGAGAGAGAGTTTGGAGTGTTGGACTTTTGAGAATTCAGGGATGCACAAATGTTTGTTTGGTATTGAATCATGCACAAACTTTGTTTAAGAAGATTCAAGAAGGTGCAAATTACAATATAAAAAATTAATTTGCTGAAACATCTTTAAACAGTTAATGAATGGTGTTAATTCCTAAAACGAATTTAAGAAATTCTCAATTTTTCACTCATTGTCGCTTAAGAAGAACATCTGCACCCCTGATACGCGAAGTCCCTGTTTGCGACTTATTTAGCGTAGGTATTCTTGTATAATACGGTTCTAGGAGTTGGCGAGAATAACGGCCATAGGAGATTAGATCATAAAAGTACATGTTCAATTAACGACTACGGATCACGCGAGAAAAAAAAACAACTGGTCACCATTAAGTTTAAGAGAGTGGTCCCATCAAAATTGATCTCCTAGCAATACCTTTATTTGCCACAGTAGAACAAAGAAGGATTTGAGGGACAAGAAGGTTTTAAAGTTTCCGGTTATTTTCTTTATTCTAATAACTGTAAAGAAACTTTTGAACGTAAGTCTATACGAACGAGCAAAATGAGAGGCCAATAAAAGGAGTTGGAATCAACGGGGTTTCATTCAGGCGCAAAAGATAAAGCAGAGAACCTTGTTTATTCGAACTTCTGTGCGATTATGTTGTATCATCGGCGACGAAGAGGGGGAATAGAAATAAATATTCTCTTTTTTTTTTTCACTGTCTAATCATTTTGTTCTAAAGAGGTTTGTTGAACGATCCTGTACTACCATCGTGAACACAAGAGAAATCGTGTAAACTTACTGGTGATCGAGTGTAACAGGACAATATTACATATACATATATATATATGTGTGTGTGTATATATATAACACATATTTTATCGAGAATTATAGAGCAGTAGCGATCTATCTAATTCTCCCCTGTAAGCTAGCGAGAGAGACGAAAAAAAAAGAAACGAATGCTGTATTAGACAAAAATTTTTCGTCGACCAGCCATTAACATGTTCAGTGCCTGCGGATAAATTCAAGAACTGTATCCTAAGCTTCCCTTTTTCTACTTAATCATTATTTTTACTGGAACAAGTGTCGAACACATCATTAATTGACCACTGGTTGACTGAAAAGGGTCCACTAGTACTTTATGGTTTGCAGCTGACAGAGTGGAATCCGAACGAGTACCGAATACGTAGCTCAAAATGATATACGAAAGCTGTGCAAGCCAGATTGTTCCAGCAAAACTAGTAGTATCTTCTTTTTTCCCCATTTTGTGTTAATGATTAGTTAGTTTCACTTAATTATTTTGAGCAACGTAACGATAATCAGTGTACTCTGTGTTTCGGTCCGTAGTTAGCATTAATAGTAAAATGCTGAGAGTGATTGAATCACCGCATAACAATGAGTTGAACTTACTGTTCGCTGATATTGTTTTATATTGATTTTCTTCAGTGTACAGTGTTTTATTCCTTAGTAGGAATAGAAATCAACGCAGTAATCTTTGTAAATACTAATTAGATACTTAGTTAGATAAATTGTACATATCATTAATTTCTCCGATAAGAATCCAATTCGATTCCATTCTATCAGTTGATGGGTTGATGTTAAAAAATACAATATTTAGCTTGTTAAAGAGAAGGGAAAGATTGTTAATAAGGGCACTGAATGTATTAAGGTGTGTCACCCTGAAGGAACCTCTGTGTAATGTCGCTAGCTTTTAGCGGAAATATTTTGTTTAATGAAAAAGTAAATGAAAAATTGAGAGAAAGATAGAGAGGGAGTGAAAGAGAGAGAGAGAGAGAGAGAGAGAGAGAGAGAGAGAGAGAGAGAGAGAGAGAGAGTGGACAAGCCCGACCGAGTAGAGACACTAGGAAGTCTATAGAGACACAGAGAATACCGCTATTTTTTCTGATCACCTACGAGATCCTATAGTATATGTCATATTATAATCTCGTTTTTCCGTTCTACCTTTTGTCAGGACGCCTTTCTTTAACGATATATATGTATGTATATATGTATGTGTATGTATGTATATATATATATGAAGGTGTACACCAGAGTAAAATATTAGTTGAGACGCGCTATTAATTTACTTGGTAATTAATTGTCACTGATATCATTATGCGCTACCGAATATGTTGTAACGATTATTATGTAATACATGAATGGCGTTTAATAGAGTATTTATTGAAATTAACAGACCTTGTGTGAGTCTTCTAAAGAAGCTTCATTTCCATTTAATTTCTCTGGAATATACAGAGTTCATTATTGACGTCTTTTTCTTTTTCCAATCAATTGTACTTCGTTTTTTTTCTCTATAATCAAGTATTTAGATTCTTCGAACAGTTGTTTAGAACTCAGAAGCTATAACAGCCCTTCAACTGTTGAATTACCGATAATTTGTGAGCTTATAATGCAGATCTGCTTGCACGGTTTAGTCAGACGGAATGAAAAATCTTTGGAACTTTGGAGTGTCATTAAATGGTCTCTTCTGTATGTTACGTAGCGTAACTAGAAAGAATATGTCATTTCTGCAACCATCTTTGTTGTAGGTGGTGGGAGGTCTCTATACAAGTGTACAAAGCGACTGCATCGTACTTTACGATGAATAACTCTTCGATCTCTGGTCAAAGTGGTAGCTACTATCGCGAAGTGCGTCTTATTTAGGCTTTATTACTGTCTGCTCGTTAGATTTATGTACATCTTCAGACACTTTTGCAAACAGCCTGTCAACATGAATTGCAAGACAACCGTTCGGTGAGTTATTTTTATATCCCCTACTTCGAGAATGATTTTTTTTTTTTTTTATTAAAGAAATATCAACAAATTGACCTTCTGATATAATTGACCATTATGTAAATAAATATTTACTGATATCAAGAATTGTTCTATTGGGAAGAAGTGGAGAAAATTGAACATAAATTGTAGATGCAACATTCAAGCAGGTTTGTTTCTTTCTCTGTGTTCAACGTTTCAGTTACATTCAATTGTCCGTAGCGAGAAAAGAGAAAGTCGCTGAAAATTGATGGAGCTGATTTCGTTCGTTGCAATAAGTGAACGTCTTCCATTTCTTCACAGATCTTACAGTGAATCTGAAATCCTTTCACAAACAGTGAAAGTTTACTTGCACTGTGGTTTAAAATAATTTTTATTACAAGAGCAATTACTGAAAAATATTGAATTTTATAAATTAAATAATATTGGAAACGATTGCCTGACATGTCAGTTTTTTAAAACAAGTTCCTATTTGAATTTTTTTTCTTAGGTACTGACACTTCGTGTATGTATGTTATGTGATGATAAACTCCATAGTACTTACCACTGTCTGTCTTTATTTATTAACTATCAGCCTTCAAGTACATTACTTTGATTACCTTAAAAAGATAAACACAGATTTTTCAAGTTCAAGTTTTTTTGAGCTTCATTTTTTTCCATGTTTAAAGAAGGGAAAATTAAAGATTGTTAAAAACAAATAAAATGTCAGACTTATTATTTTTAAAATTCAGTATAAATAACACTATTATATGAAGCACAATATTAAAAAAAATTGTTGAAGTTATTGAAAAAATATTCAGATCTTTTTTATTGTAGAAGAAATATTAAACGTTCATTTCCTGTACACCAGCGCATACCAGACGATTGGTTGTACCTGTTATTTAACTAAATTACCTGGGGAGAACGAGGGATTCATTCTGTCATTCATTATCTATCATAACTACGTGCAATGCTTTTGTATGAGCATCGATATCGTTAACAAGATCAGCAGTTAGACTGATATCGATTAACGGCTAATGTCAATAATTACAAGGTTTTACAATGATACTGCTAATCTTCACTGTATCCTTTTGTGCTATTTTGAACCCTACACTTTTCGTAAATGACAAATCACGACTATAATTTCTGCAGTAATTTTTTTATGAAGCATATTTTTCCATTAATGACAAGTGGAAAAGTATACTCTTTCAAAATTGAAGAGTTCTTCTGAAATCACCGTTCTTCCAGAGCAATTTAGATTTAAATCAGTGTCTGCTCGTGGCTCGTTAAAATGAAATTATAAATCGCGTGTCGTTATCAATCTGGTTTAACTTCTCCGGTATTTAATGGAAAAAAGTAGTGTAGTTGTATGATAAGTGTCAATCAAGTAGTATTGAATGATATATAACCGTTTATTTGAATAATTTACTACTGGCTGACCTTAAACGTCGTCTGAGAAGAAACAAGATATAAAAACTACTCGCGCTTATCAATTGTAATCTTAGTTCCTCATTAGCAGATTTGTTTCCTCTTCGATCAAGTTCATGAAAATTTCATGAGAAATGTCTAGATCACAAACCTGTGTTCATTGTCTAATTTTCTTTCTTAACCAATTATATCTGTAATTTTAACCCTAAGAAACCCAAAGAAGGGTAAAAAAATGTCGACAGTTTTGAAATACAGTTCTTTTTCATAAAGTAACTTGTATAGGTCATTAATAATCTGTTTTTGTCAGAAATGATTATAAACAAACATAAATTACGTGTGCTGTTTATTTTTTTTTATTGAAATTGAATTAAATTTTTGAGCAGCTTGGGCTTCCTAGAGTTAATAATTCTCTAATCTGCAATAATGTCAATGTCATCATTTATAAAATCCAAGCGTGTATAACGATAACAAAAGTCTATGACTCCGAGTAAAACGAACGTATTACGTAAACCGTGAACACGCATCTTATATAGAAACATGTTCCATTGTTGACAATTACAGATAGTTGGCGCATAGATTCTTATCTTGTACACGTGAAACACGTGATTCATCGTTGCAACAATGTTGTAAACTAATTTTGTCATGCTATACTGTGTACTTTCCATGTCTGTGTTTTACATTGTACATTCAGAAAGGTCAGGCCTGTATCAATCTCTTTTTAAACATGTAAAATCTTGCTGAAGGGAGTCAGACAGTGATCTGTTGTTCTGATTGAGCATTCATTGAATGTTCATTAGGGATTCAAATGACTGTGACAACGATCTCACAACGATTACTGTGTGTTGTCTTCACTCTTAAATGATTTTGATCTCTCTATTCTTGGCTAAAAAGAGAGAGAGAGAGAGAGAGAGTAGCGGAAGAACGCTTTATTGATACTAGACGCGTGGAGAGTCTCACAATGTTGATTCTGCCTCCTCATTCTCTATCCAGCTGTTATGTAAGATTTCTAAATCGTCTTGATACTTATAGTGTAATTTTGTTATATTTTACATAAACTTGATCACACAATGCATTGTTAAATTACATTAAATAATCAAATCACTTCAATTGATCCATTAATAAAATAAATTGTTTTACTGTAGTACATAAAATGAGTTTTGTAATGATAGGGTGTTCAGGGTGAGTCTATCTTACAAAGTGAATGAAACTAAAAACTGAATGTACAAAATAAATTTCATCAGATTCTTCACTACAGTTACAGTATTAATACTGAATTAAATTATTTCTAAATTATTTAGGACAAATTTACACCGGTGTGTATTTTGGTTAAAATCACCAAAAAAAGAAGACAATAATGATAATAATTGTAACAATGAAATTATTTTCAGTGAAGGAAGACATTCCACCTAATACATCGCTGAATATTTTCATACGAGAGCATGCAAAACTTCGTGGAACCAAGGCAATGTGCCATGAAGGAGGCTGTGGTGCTTGCATTGTGTCAGTGAAGGTCAAGGGTGAGACAATGTCTGTCAATTCTTGTCTGGTACCAGTACTCATTTGTAATGAGTAAGTGTAAAATTAATTAGTTAACCTAGTAAATAAATATTAAGCTTCATAGTCCTCGTTTTTTCTATAATAGATGGGCCATCAAAACGATTGAAGGGATAGGTAACAAGAAGGAGGGCTATCATACTCTGCAGGCTGCATTGGCTGGAAAAAATGGCTCTCAGTGTGGCTATTGCTCACCTGGAATGGTGATGAACATGTACAGGTACAATATCTTTATTTACATTCCGCTATTAGTTAGAATGTCACGGATAAGTTCAATTGACAGGTCAATCACGTTTTTCCAGTCTGATGCAAGGCAAGCAGTTGACTATGAAGGAAATAGAGAACTCTTTTGGAAGCAACATATGTCGTTGTACGGGCTATAGACCCATTTTGGACGCGTTCAAAAGCTATGCCTCCGATGCTCCAAAGGAAATGGTTAAAGATATCCAAGATATCGAGGTGAATGCAGGATAAGATTAACATTAAGCAATGTTTGTAATTTGGAGTAGCTCTTGAAGTATAGTCTTTGAGTGCTACGTTTATCGGAAATCTATTATCTTTACAATATAATCTGTAATTTTGTACAATTTAATTTTTGTTATCATTTAGGAACTATTTAAAATACAAATCTGCCCAAAGAACGGTCTACCATGTGAAAATGGTCGTAATGGATGTCACACACTTTTGCAAACCACCAACAACAAAATTAACATGGAATTAGATGGTTCAGAGTTCCATAAGGTTCTATCAATCGAAGACTTATTTGCAGTATTTAAGAACAATCCAAACGCGAGTTATGTTTTACACGGTGGTAACACTGCACACGGTAGATATTTAGAATTATTACGCAACCTGATAAAGTAATTACATTTTTTTTATCACATAATTTTTGTACAGGTGTATATCGGTTGAAAACACCGGATATGATAATTGACATAAATGACATACCCGATTTACGTAGAATAAGCAAGGAAAAGGATACTTTAACCATTGGAAGCAATATTTCTCTTACCGTGGCTATGGAGACATTTCAGAAATACTCCCAGGAGCCAAACTTCGAATATTTGCAGCATTTCGTCAAACATATTGATCTGATTGCCAGTGTCCCTGTGAGAAATGTAAATAAATGTAATTTGGTAGATATAATGAAACGTATGAAAGGGATGTAAATTGTTAATGGAATTTTTAATTGCAGATGGGATCCTTAGGAGGAAATCTGATGATCAAGCATATGTATCCCGAGTTTCCGTCGGATCTGTTTCTGATACTTGAAACTGCAGGAGCAACATTACATATAGGTAAACAAAAATAATCTTTTTTAGATTTATTTATGTTCTTTGTTATTGTAAAGTTAAATAATTTCAAATCTTTTCCATAAACAGTCGAAGCTGATGGTAAAAAGACCAACATGACTTTATTAGAGTTCCTAGACTTCGATATGAAGCACAAAATTATATACAGTATAGTATTACCAGCTCTCAGTAAAGAGTACGAGTACAGATCTTACAAAGTAGGTCTTTTTTATGCTGATTATACAATAATAGGAATAATTGGAACCATATGTTTCATTTTAAAAAATTTACTAAACTATAGATAATGCCAAGAGCTCAAAATGCTCATGCCCACGTGAACGCTGGATTTTTATTCAAATTAGATGGGGCTGGAAAAGTCTTGGAAAGGCCTAACATCATAATTGGTGGAATAAATAAGGAATTCGTGAGTAAAATGACATTTGAGACATGGAAATTTGGAAGTTAAGTGAATGTTAGTGTTCAATTAAATTTTTCAGCGGCATGCATTAAACACAGAGGGCTTTCTGGTGGGTAAATCCATTTTCGATAGGAACGTAGTGAAGGAAGCTTTGCAGAAGTTGGACGCAGAACTTAATCCTGATCATGTGCTGCCTGATTACTCTCCAAAGTTCAGAAAGACGCTTGCACAGGGACTTTTCTTCAAGGTTTGTATCACTGGATGAAAAATTATGAAGATTCCAAGTGATAAGGCACTGTTGTAAAAAGAAAATTTTATTTAGTTCATCTTAAGTGTTAAACCAGAGATCATAGAGCCAAGAGCGCGCAGTGGTGGAAGCCTCTTGGAGCGTGAACTGTCTTCAGGCAAACAGGAGTTTAATACAGATAAAAACTTATGGCCTTTGAATCAGCCTCTGCCAAAATTGGAGGCCATATATCAAACTTCAGGCGAAGCACAGTACACAAATGATATTCCACCTATGGCAAATGAAGTTTTCTGCGCCTTCGTACTGACCACAGTGCCAAATGGGAAAGTGAAGAGCATAGATGCTAGTGAAGCATTGGTAAACATCCTAATCTGATCATTTTCAAACTATAATTACTATTTAAATTTACATCTTAATCTATACTTTCTTCTTTTTTTTTAGAAAATGAAAGGAGTGATAGCATTTTACTCTGCAAATGATATTCCTGGGAAAAATTTGTTTATACCAGCAGCTGCACAAGAAATGATGATGAATTTTGATGAAGTGGTAAGTTATCATACATGGTTTTTCAGGGTTTATGACTAACTTGTTGATCTTTTTTATTTAGTTATTCGCAGATCAGCATATTGAGTATGCTGGACAACCTGTTGGGGTAATCGTTGCGACAACTCAATTGCTTGCAATTAATGCTACGCAAAAAGTGATTGTTTCTTATGCCGATGCCGCTCCAGAGAAAGCCTTGTTGACGATCGAGGACGTGATCGCGAAAAATGACGAGTCCAGACTGCTTCAGTCAGGCAGTGTTGTCCCAGAAACGAAGGGTGTGCAAATATAAATTGAGCTTGCTATTTCCAAAGTTTGAAAATGTAAAAATTATTTTCGTAATTCGTTGTATTTTACAGGAAACAACGTGAAGCATGTAGTAAAAGGGGAATTTCGAAGTGGAGGTCAGTACCACTACACTATGGAGACTCACACCTGCGTTTGCGTGCCAATCGAAGATGGAATAGACGTTTATGCAGCAACCCAATGGGTAGACCTTACCCAAGTAGCTATAGCAGAGTGTCTTGGAGTAAAGAATAACAGGTAAAATTAATACAATACATGATGAATAAAAAATGAATAAAATATAATTATGTCTTTTATTATTAATTGCAGTATTAATATTCAAGTGAGAAGATTAGGTGGTGGATATGGGGCAAAGATATCTCGTGCCACGCATGTTGCTTGTGCATGTGCATTGGTATGCTACAAGTTAAATAGACCAGCTAGGTTCGTAATGTCGATAGAGAGTAACATGATGGCAATTGGTAAACGTTACGACACTAGACAGGAGTATGAGGTTGGTGTCGACGACAATGGCCTCATCCAGTATTTAGAATCGAAGCATTGGGGCAACAGTGGTTGCAATTTCAACGAGTTCCACGCTCCCTTAGTTGTAGAGCATATGAAAAGGTAGATATTCATTGTACGATAAATGATTACAGACAAATTAACATTGTTTATGGAAATTTATAGTTGTTATGAGTTCTCAACTTGGTCGAGTAAGGGCTTTGAGGTCAAGACTGACCTTCCTTCTAATACATACTGTCGAGCACCAGGTACATTAAATCTTATCATAACCTGGAAACAATAAAAACTTACGTTTTTTGTATTTAATTAATTTTCAACGTCGCTGATAGGCTCTACGGAAGCCATAGCTATGGTGGAGAACATAATGGAACATATAGCGAAGACCGTGGGAAGAGATCCATTAGAAGTTAGATATGCAAATATGAAAGAAGTGCACAAGGATGTATTGCAACCAATGATAGAGGAATTGTGCCAGAATGCGGATTATGAGATGAGAAAGAGAGCCGTGAATACGTTTAATAATGTAAGAACATTGTAAAATACAACATATTGGACTCGTTAATTGTACAAATCTGCGATGCCTTCGTAGGAGAACCGATGGAAAAAGAGGGGAATAGCTTTGGTACCACTAATGTATCCATTGGCCACCTGGGGCCAGTTTCACGCGCATGTAGCAGTATATGCTCGAGATGGGACAGTTTCTGTGACTCATGGTGGAATTGAGTGTGGTCAAGGCATTAATACCAAGGTAAAAGGAAGAACATTGATGAAGTATATGATAAAGAATAAGTTTTACTTTACTGCTAAATTATATTTTTTCTTTTTTTGCAATAGGTAGCTCAAGTGGCAGCACATACTTTGGGCATAGACTTGTCATTGATTACTGTAAAACCAACTAATAATTTAACAGCTCCAAACAACTCTGTCACTGGTGGCAGTATTGCCAGCGAAACGTGTGCATACGTAAGATTGGAACTCCATTGATTACTATATAAAAAATATAATATATTTCTAAATAAAAAATGTATTGATCATAGGCAACCATGATGGCTTGTAAAGAGCTCATGAAGAAGTTAGAACCTATCAAAGCGGAACTAAAAAATCCCACATGGAAAGATTTAGTTTTTACAGCACATTCGAAAGACGTCGATCTATGTTCGCGTTACATGTATATTTCTTTTTTAATAATCCAACAATTGTATCAATATTTACCTCCAAATATTTAATATATATATTTCATAGGTTTACTACGAAAGATGATATAAAATCTTACCCGATATATGGTGCTACTATAGCAGAGATTGAACTTGACGTCCTGACCGGACAACACATTGTGCGCAGAGTAGATATAGTCGAGGATGCCGGAAGGAGTATGAATCCGGAATTGGACTTAGGACAAGTGGAAGGTGCCTTTGTGATGGGCCTTGGATATTGGACGTCTGAAGATTTGATTTACGACTCAAAAACTGGCCAATTGACAAACACCAGAACTTGGGTTTGTTATTAGAATTTTGTTTACTTTATGTATGCACGTAAAATGCATTTATGTTATATTGGAAACAAATTTCTTGTAGAATTATAAGCCACCAGGTGCTAAGGATATTCCTGTCGATTTCCGGGTTTACTTTTGTCGAAATGGTTCGAATCCATTCAGTGTTCTTCGTTCGAAAGGTAAGATAGGCAAGATAATAATAATTTTTTATTGATATATGCAATGTTAATATTTATTGAATGTTACAGCTACTGGTGAACCACCATTGTGTATGGGCTACGTAATACTCATTGCAATTCGCAATGCGCTAAATTCAGCAAGGGAAGATGCTGGAGATAAGAATCCGTGGTTCAAATTGGGTAAGTATTAAAAATACTTTCAATTAAAAGTAAAAATTTCTTGTTTTTTTATATTATAACGAGTTGTTCGTATTTATTTTACAGATGGACCTGTTACTAATGAGAGGATCCTGTTAAATAGTTTAACCAACAAAGAACAAATGGTATTCTAAAATAACAATTTTTTGAATAAAACGCTTTTGTTATTGAATGTTTATTCCAAACTCAGAATTTTTCCATTTTTATCATTTTTCTTACAAATATAATAAATGGATTAATTTTTGCATGAATCTTGTTTTTTCAAAATTACATCCTTTAATATTTAGTCATTATTGAATCACACGTGACAAATTACACAATACGTGATCAACAGCATAGCATCATTGGAATATTCCGCACGAAAATTGACAAGAAATTACCCAAAACCCCGTTTTTCATTAATCAGTGACGTGCTGATTCCTTGAAAACCTTACAGGCCTAAGAAATTTAAAAAAAATTTTCTGAAAGAATTTAAAAATAATTTTGTATTAAAACTGAAATATAGAAATGACACACTTTTTTGGAAATTTTGGTAATAATTTTGTTTTAGAAGTAATTATACGTTGATTAAAAATTTGTAATTCATAAATCTCTGTTATACAACACTGCCATTAGGATGCGCAGTAGAGCAGTTTAAACTTGCTGAGCAGTGGCCTACGCTTCAGTTCACGCGCATCAGCCACCAAGTCCGCAAGATTCTCCTCACTTCGTGGCGTGATCCCTCGTTCCGAATTCCTAATCTCTCTGTACGCGCCACCAAGCATCGGTGACGTCGGAACACCGACCCCGTGCACGCGGTCCTCTTTGTGTTTGGCAACAGGACGTCGGGTCCTTTGCCACTGGTTTCGATGTCGCCACCGAGCCTATCTCCCAATAACAGATTCTAAGGTTCCGCTCATTGGCGATACAACGTTCTTTTACAAGGGGCCCATGCCGCTAAATGCGTCGTCTTTGACACGTGTGTGTTCTAATAAGATAACTGACGCTACACGTGCACATAAACTTGATATGTAATTTTTGCCTACGATAAATATTTACACAATATACATATGTATAAAAAATACACTATATATGTATATAAGTATACATACGTACATATATTAACCATATATTTATTGTATTAATTATGACAACTAGCGAGATGATACAAATTGTAAAAACAGTAGAAACAGAAATTTTTTGCAATATGCACATCTAACAAACAATATTAAATTACAATTACATTTGTTATTTATTATATTTGGTGGAAAATAGACGCAGATAGTTCACGGTGAATGAGTGATTATATTTTTATTATCTTCAAGCGGTTGAAAAAACATAAAAGTAAAAATATAAAAATTAAATAATGTGAAATTTTATCAATTAAAATAAGAGTGAAAAAAATTCTTCATTGTACAAAGATCCGAACTCAGATTACCCACTTACGAAACAAACATCCTGTGCACTGGCTCACTGCCGATTGTTAAATAATGCCTAAACTTTTAAAGTTTTATAGAAGTAATTTCAATTGGTTATAAAAAATGTGCAATGAAATGAAATATTTTACAGAATGTCATTTTTCGACTTCTAGATTCATCCCTTCAAATTTTATCAAAATCCCCGAAGGACAGGTATGTAGTTTCTTTGATAAGTGCTTTGCACATCAATATTTCTCAAATTTTTTATTTCACTGAAAAGTTACAAAATGAAATTACAAAATAATTATTGTCTTTAGTACCTGAATACCTTTGAAGCTGACACAGAATTTTAATACAATAGTAATAAATTTTCCTAATTTTTTATGTAAAATTTTTATCAAATTTAACGAGATTTTTAAAAATAGTTCCGAGTAATACCTCTGTGATTTTTGTATATTAATGTCAAATTTAACTGCTCAAATTTGCTCAAAATGAAGAAAATTGTCAAAATCGTTATTGACGCGTTCAGTATTCTAACGTCCTATCCTACTATTGTACGCGTTATTCAATTTTTTTATTATTTATTTTGTTATTTAACTATCTACTGAAAATTACAAAACAAAAATAAAAGAGAAATTTTGAATGTATACAAAGTTATGATATTTGTCTCTGAAACCCCTGTATGCGAAACGGCCGCTACGATTTTGCCGGTATTTCCGCGAAACTGATGAACAAATTTTTCAAACAAAAGTTAATCAGTATTCAGTTAACAATAAATCGTGTTAATGAAAATTTACAAAAAGTTTTTATTCGATAAACAATAAAGATCACTACAATTTTTTTAAACGAAACCATATATTTTCTTATGTGCCAATCAATGCATATTTGAATTCTCTTCAAAAAAGTATTAGAGAACTTAGGTCGAA